CCATGCTCAAAGACTCGACAGAGAGAAAACCGAGAGGAAGCAATGCACCAAAAAAAAGGGCGGGAAAGAAGAGGTACCTCCTTAATGTCGATGTAAAGCACTGCAACACCAGAATTCACCTTAAGGAAAAGCTCTCACAGAAATCCCATTTCCAATCTCCTCACAGCTAAAACTTCTACTCTCCTTTTTTTTTGTAAACTTTCAACAACTCCAAAATTTCAAAAGAAACTATGTTTATAGGCAGGGAAGAGAGGAGAAGAGAAAGGAGATCACACCATCGACCCATGGCACTCGAATCGGGCCCAAGAAAAAAAAGACGCGCTCCCTGCTCACAGAAGGCGAAGCAACCAAAACATCTAGGACCGAGCGGCGAGCCTAATGGCAGCGAGGGAAGCATCGGGAAGAAGAGAGAGTTTGTCATTTAAGTGTACCAGGGAGCAAGCTTCCCAGAGTCAAACTACCAGAAAAAGGAAAAAAAGCAGCTCGGGGAGACTGGCACGGCTTCGGGAAGGAGGGTCGCGGGCAGAAGAATGTCAGGCAAGGAAGAACGAGGTCAACTTTCTCTCGCGTGGAGGAGGAGGAGTTTGCTCGGCTCGAGACCGAGAAAGGGAGGCCAGGCGCGCAAACGAGAGAAGGAAGGGAGGCAGAGCTCAGGCTTAAAGAGGAAAGAAAAAGATAATCTGGTTTATATAAATTAATATATATGTATATATATATATACATATATATATATATATATATATATAGATATATATGCGATCTATTCACGCGCGGCGTCGTAACAAAATGAGTGTCTTCCCTAGGCAAAATCGACATTCCGGACGCGCCAGAGCAGTCTGTTTTGTCATCCGGGGTCGCTAGGACGACGTCGTCGACAATCAGGTCAAAAATGCGTCAAAATTCAAATCTCACAAAAATTTGACCCGTGATTGATCGTCTCAAAAAGTTTATTCGAGTATTCAACAGGTAACGGTGCAAGCGATGTGAATTGTGGCAATCGGACGTGTCGACTCTCCGAATTGCGAAGTTTTGTGCGCGCGGGAGTACGAATTGTGCAGAAGGTCACCCTAAGACTTAAAAAGGTCCTATAGGAATTCCTTTTGGGTTTCCTCATGTCGATTTCATCCTTCTAAGTGCTAGAAGTCGATAAAACATACGCGAAACTCCAAAAGGGTACAGAAGCGGGTCGAATTTCTAAAACGAGGCGGGTCCAATTTCTAAGGTTCTAAAATAGTCAAAGGAAGATCCCTAAGGCTAGATCCTAAACCCTAAGAGGAAGACTAGACCTCACCAAAAATGAGGTCAACACATCTATACTTCAACTTTCACAAACAGAGCACATTCATAATGCATAAAAAGGCGTATTTCACTTGTAAAAGTTAAAATTGTGGTAATTTTTATGCTTTATGAATAATTTGGGTGATACAAATTTAAAAAGCAAAGTTTAAATATGTAAATACATAGGAATTGTGTTGTGAGCTTCTTAACTAGTCGAATACGAGTTGTTCGCAAACAATGAGTCGTTTTGACAACCCTAAAAGTGGGTCTATATCTTAAAAGATAAATCTGAAGCTACTGTCACCTTCAAAACTCACTTTTTCATTTTGAAAATTTAAAACTTCAATTCAAGTCCTTCGAAACAACAATGGACGTGAAGTTTTTTAACTTTATTTTAGGTGAGTTATTGGTAAGTAAGAGCATCCTCCATCATAGTTCGTGTACAAACACTCAATAAAAAGGAGTAGCCGAGAGAAAAAATAGACACCTTCTCGAAGTAGCATGCTCCATAATGTTTCAATCTAATGCCCCGAAATGGTTTTGAAATGATATGCTTACTGCCACGTATCTCATCAACAGAGTCCCCATAAAAATTCATAACTTCATAACTCCATTACACATCTTGAGGTCATTTTTTTCCAAACAATCAGTTCTTCGCCACTCTTAAACCCAAATTTTTTTAGTGCACGGCCTTCGTCCGTAACACTTCCCATAATCTTAACAAGCTTATTCCCAACTCTATTAAATGTGTCTTCCTCGAACACTCTGCTACTCAAAAAGGTTATCAATGTCTTGGTCCTACCACAAATAAACTCTATGTAAGTGTCGATGTCTCCTTTTTTGAAACTGTTCCTTACTTCCCTATCGCTGCCTTAAGGGGGAGCTTGATTTCTTGAACACTATTCCTTATCCGACCTCTATGGATATTTCTCCAAACACTATATCCAAGAAGCTCTCTGACCCTCTAGATTCGCCACATACCAGACAACTAGAACCTCCACCCATCCTCCGTGTTTTATACTCAACACACACATATTCCTACTTTGGAGCCCACTACCACTTTAAAGGACCTAGAATCCACTCCTAGAGACATCCCCAGAACTAGCACTGCTCCAAATGAGGAGGTGAGTTCTCCTATTGAGCTATGTAATCAGAAAAGCTCTCTTTATCCCATGGAACTCTTCCACAGTGTATTGCCGACCTACAAAGTGTTTGTTACTGCCCTGACGAATCATCATCTCTAATCCATTACTGAAGCAGCATTAGCTGACTCTTCCTAAAAATTTGTACTAATGGATGAGATGAAGCATTTCAGCGAAATCATACACAGGATGTTGTGGATATTCCTCCAGGTAAGAAAGTTGTGGGGTGCCGCTGGATTTTTAGCGCAAAGTTTAACTCCGATGAATCCTTTGAACGCAAAAACACAGTTAGTCGTCAAAGGCTACTCAAAAACATACAGAGTTGATTATGAGGAGACATTTGCTCTAGTTGCTACACTAAACATCAATCGGATCCTACTTTCCCTTATTTTGAATTTGGATTAGTCATTGCTCTGGTTGGATGTCAAAAAAACTTTCCTAAATAAGGATCTCATAGAGGTAGTGTACATGTGCCTCCCTCCAGACTTTGACTCTATTTTTTTCAGAGGACAAGTGTGCCGACTACGAAAGTCCTTTTACGGACTAAAGCAATCCCCAAGGGCTTAGTTCGACAAGTTCACAAAAGTGGTAATGGGTCATGATTTTTTTCAAGCCCAATAAGAGCATACTTTCTTCTTTCGGCATTCTTCCAATAGCCAAACTATCCTTATTGTTTATGTCAACCATATTGTGGTCACGGGTGATGATCTACCGGCATTAGAATCTCTGAAAGACATTCTTGCTACTTCATTTGAAATGAAGGACTTGAAGTCACTCCTGTACTTCTTAGGAATGGAAGTTGCACGATCAACTCGGGGCATTTGTCTGTCTCAGCACAAATATGTGCTTGATATATTGACATACAATAACCTTTTCATTTGCAAGCCAGTGGAGATCCTAATGGATCCTAATGAGAATTTAACCGATGTTCCCAATGCAATTCAGAAGAACAAGACTCGCTACCAACGTCTTGTGGGAAAACTAATTTACCTCGGACATACTTGTCCTGATATTTATCACGCAGTAGATATTGTAAGTCAATTCATGCATAATCCATATGAGCACCATCTCCGAGCTGTCCACAAGATCTTTCACCATTTAAAAGACACATCGGGCTCAGGTTTGTCTTTCTCGCACCACACCTCTCGTTCTATTTCTATTCATACGAACACAGATTAGGTCGGGTTGATCCATGATTGGTGATCTACCTCAAGATATTGCTCATTCGTGCGGGAAAATCTTGTCACATGAAAAATAAAAAACAGAACAATGTGGATAGGAGCAGTGATGAAGCAGAGTTTTGTTTCATGTTCTTAGATATCTATGAAGCTTTCTGGTAACGCATAATGCTTCGTAAATTATGCATGTTGGTCTCTACTCCACTCCAGCTATTTTGTGATAGTAAAGCCAATATTAGCATTACTCATAATTTTGATCCAGTGATCGAACCAAGCATGTAGAGATTGATAGGCACTTCATTAAGGAGAAGCTCGATTCAAGAGAGAGTTGTAATCCATTTTTCTCATCCAATGGCCAATTAGCAAATATCTTTACCAAAAATCTTCCTCGGTCGTTGTTTGACGACTTCAAATCCAAGTTGAACATAATGGACATTTATGCTTCAACTTTAGGAGGAGTATGAGAATTATTTGCCTAATTATTTGGCTAATTTTTGCGGTAGTTATAACTAACTTTTATTTGCTTCCTTTATTTGCTATCTTTCCATATTTATGTATTTCTTAGCTGTCTATTTTTTAATTTATGTCTTTCCTTTTATTTAGGTCTTGTAATATGTCTTTATACCTCTTTTCCTATCAATAAAAGTATGCAGGTCTATTCTCAAAAGTTAACACAAAGAATATCAAATTATACTCAAAACCCTTAAGGATGTGAAGTCATGGCAAATCTTTTACAGATCTTTTCGTTTTTAATGTTTCAAACTAAAATGAACTCATTTTAATCTCAAGTGCCAACCAATAGAGAAGAAAAGGCTAAAGACTCCAAATCTTAAAGAACATTAAAACCAACGATACTAACATCCACAGCAAACAATAAAAAGTTAGAATGCATGAAGAACTAATAAGAGAGAGAGAAATTTACATACATACCACACAATTCTTATGCATTTACATATCAAACTCCTAAAGTTTGATATTTATATTCAAAACACTTCGGTATCAAAAACCTATGCATGAAAAAGTGTATTTCAGATTTAATAGTGATATTTTTTATGTGATGTCAAAGATTTGAGTATTACTTGTGTAAATATGAAAGTTTAGGTGTTGAACCTGTAAATATAAGAATTGTGTGGTATGTATGTAAATGCCCTTACGAAAAAATGAATCATCAACATTTAATTCCTATTTTCTTACCATGTTATTGGCACAATAAATAGCACCATCATTAAGAAGAAATCTTACAAGAAAGTTGTCTGAGCTTTTGCCTAAATACCCAGGAACTCTTAAGAGTATAAACTTTTCCCATTGATATTAAATTGCATCACTAAATGCAGGATTATACAAGTTCCTTTCAAGACGTAATATTATAAGAAATTAATTTGAGTTCAGCAAAAAGCCTCACCACGCAAGAAATATTTGCGGATGAGTCCGGTTTCCCGTCAGCAGGCCAGTCCATTCTCTGCAATGAATTTGTAGTCCAATGTGCTCCGCTATTTACAGCATTGTTTGCGGAGAGGAAAACCAAATACTTCCCATCTGGACTGTAAAACAATAATTTGATAGGTGTGAGTCTAATGACAATGCTGAAATTCGCGAAATTAGTTTAGCATATTAATGGATGCTAATGGAATTACAGCATTTCTGCTCTACAAAACATACAGATTTTAACTCAAAATTTGATAGAAAAAATTCAAATTCAAATCTTGGTGAGACATTCCTCACAAAGTTAAAATCAAAACAATCATACTAGTTTCATATTATAAACAGCATAATCACAAATAGCCCAATGTTTCTAAAATCCAGCAAAAGGAATATGTAAATAAAATCCAAATTACATAAGTTTGAATCAACGTTCTCACTGCCAAGTTCTATCAAACAGTATCCTTCACAAAGCTGTTTAAATAATTAGAAAACAAAACCCAAGAAAAATTACCTGAACTTCGGAAAAAATGCACTGCTTAGATTAGATGTCAAAATGATCGGCTCTGCAAAATCTTCCAATTCATTTGTCCTGAAAAAGACAAATTGAAAGTTAATTTAATGCATGGTAAGAACAGAAAAAAATCTAAAATTTGTGATGGAAGAGGAAAAATAATTTTTTTTTTCTAAGCTAATAAAATACCCACTTGACTGGAGCCCTGATAGCATACAAGGCACATGGCCTATTGTAACAATATTTAATGCCAAGCTTCCTTGCTGTTCGCTGCGGACCATTTTCTGATGGCCAGCCAACAAAAACTAAGAACTTCTCCGAGGCACTCGAAACCAAAGGAGCCCAAACCACCTGACCAACACTCAAAGAATTCGAAACACCCTTGACAATCTGTACCTCGCCACTGTGCTCACAGACAGCATAATTATGAAAGATTAATCACTCGTATAAAAAAATTTGTGCATGATTTGACTATCAGAAAGATACATTGTACGTGATTACGACAATACCTGCTAATTTGAAGTACGAACAATGTAGGCCGCCTTTTCTTAGAATAGGTTTCACCCCAATCCTCTTCCCAATTTCCCTGACCATTCCAGGTACCACAATCCTTATTGAAACTTTCTCTCTTGAAGCCGGAATCATCGAAAACCAGCTTGGATGGAGCTGGCTCTTCCGCAACATATGCGATATGAGTTTCTTCATGGTTCCATGAAATTCCCTCAAACCTATTATATAAGTGAATCAACTATTGATAAAGATAATACAGAGCCTGGTTCGGTTAAAATAGAGACAAGTATATGGATAGATGCAATATACTCGATATCTTATTAAGATGGATGAAATAGACACAAAAAAGGTGTCAAAATGGTCCAATGGCTTTTTATAGGGGGTCATTTTAGTCCCGAAGTTTACAAAAGTATCAATTTAGCCCCCATTTATTAAAATAAAGCTGAAATGATCCTAGGAAAGGACTATTTTAGCCCGTTTAAGAAAATTCGGGGACTAATTTGACATTTTTATAGACTTTGGGACTAAAATGGCTCCATATAAATAGTCAGAGCGCTATTTTGGCTTTGGCACTTTAGTCGAAATAGACATTATGCATTACCATCCATCAACAAATAGTGAGCCATGAACGGATCTTGGAATCTGTATTGCTTTCTCCAGATGCGCAGAATGCCAGATTTCAAGCTGTGTTGGGGACTCGTCTTCCATATTACGAACTAGTAGAAGCTTTGAACCTGAAGGTGAAGGAACAATGGCGGACACACCTTCCATTTCAACTGGAAAGGGAGACCACTGAAAATCTATAGATTGGTTATCTGACTTTACAATATGAGCTGACAGGATAAGTTTCCTCTTTTTGTTAGCTACCAAATTCGTTTGACTGATCGAAAAGAATGCCCGGGAACAGTCAGCTGCAGTAAGTTTTAAAGAAAGAAGTAATAAATAGCTGGAAAACAATAAATTATGTAAAGCAAGAAACCAAGAAAATATCAAAATATTAGAGCATAAATCATCAAATAAACAGAACATGGTTTAAAGTGAAATATGAAGCCAAAAGAATATCTGAAAATTAAAACTCAGAATGAACAACAAACTCACAGAACAGGCTGTTAACACACCACTATCAGACTTAAGAATCCAAGCTTTGTCAATGCTGGGAGCTTTAGAGAATTCCTGTAGTAATTTAGCTTGAGAATCATATTCGTCCGTGGAATTTTCATCAATTTTGTGTGGAATGTCCTTTGCTGCAACAGGCCTAGGAGCTTGCATGGCTGCCGTTGAAGGTAATTTGCAACAAATGCTATAAATAATAAAATACGATATAAGGAAACAGAAACTACCTTTGAAGTAAATGAAAATTACTGCATATATGAAACCGCAAAACAATTTAGACAACCCTATCTGGTTTAAGAGCTTTTTAGTGAAAAAAGGTCATATTGAATCAAAACAACGGCATTGCTAGGAAAAACAACAATTCACTTTTCAAACCCATTTAATTTTACAATCAACAAATTTAAATACACATTTCATGTGTTTTATTCTTGGTTATTTTGTATAGATCTAGATAACCCAAAGAAAAATAACAATAGGCAAAGCACATTACAGGAAATTAGATATAAATCAAATAGGTTTGAAAACCATTTTTTTCCAGGAAGAAATACCAAATATAGTTCCCAACTCACTATATGTCAAATCACAACCCAGTATAAACCAAAAGCATCAAAATAAGAAAACTAGGATTGTCATGCAAGAAAGAGAAAGTAAAATAGGATAAAAATTATATATGCCCTTAATGGGTAATAATATAAATATTGTATACATATATTGTTGTGAGATATGTGGCATAGAAATGAAACGCAAAGAACACAAGCAAACACAGATCGTTTACGTGGTTTGATCCAACTAGATCTACGTCCACAGGAGGGAATCAATCAAATAGTTCATTAAGGCAAAAGAAATGGAGAATACATAACTTATACACAGAGATGAGCCCTCATCTTCCTTCTATGGTCTCCTTCTCAAGCGACACCTTGATACAAGGCCTCAAGATGCTCTCCTCGTCTCTAGCTCTCTAGTTATTCTCTCCTCCTTTGTGGTAGCTTAAGAACTCTTCCCTTGCTCTCCTAAGCCTCACACCCTCTCTATTTATAGAAGCAAGAGAGTAGTAGGTGGAAGGTTATATGCCCTTAATGGGTAATAATATAAATATTGTATACATATATTGTTGTGAGATATGTACTTCCTGACATAGAAATGAAACGCAAAGAACACAAGCAAACACAGATCGTTTACGTGGTTTGATCCAACTAGATCTACGTCCACAGGAGGGAATCAATCAAATAGTTCATTAAGGCAAAAGAAATGGAGAATACATAACTTATACACAGAGATGAGCCCTCATCTTCCTTCTATGGTCTCCTTCTCAAGCGACACCTTGATACAAGGCCTCAAGATGCTCTCCTCGTCTCTAGCTCTCTAGTTATTCTCTCCTCCTTTGTGGTAGCTTAAGATCACTTCCCTTGCTCTCCTAAGTCTCACACCCTCTCTATTTATAGAAGCAAGAGAGTAGTAGGTGGAAGGCTATATGCCCTTAATGGGTAATAATATAAATATTGTATACATATATTGTTGTGAGATATGTACTTCCTGACATAGAAATGAAACGCAAAGAACACAAGCAAACACAGATCGTTTACGTGGTTTGATCCAACTAGATCTACGTCCACAGGAGGGAATCAATCAAATAGTTCATTAAGGCAAAAGAAATGGAGAATACATAACTTATACACAGAGATGAGCCCTCATCTTCCTTCTATGGTCTCCTTCTCAAGCGACACCTTGATACAAGGCCTCAAGATGCTCTCCTCGTCTCTAGCTCTCTAGTTATTCTCTCCTCCTTTGTGGTAGCTTAAGATCACTTCCCTTGCTCTCCTAAGTCTCACACCCTCTCTATTTATAGAAGCAAGAGAGTAGTAGGTGGAAGGCTATATGCCCTTAATGGGTAATAATATAAATATTGTATACATATATTGTTGTGAGATATGTACTTCCTGACATAGAAATGAAACGCAAAGAACACAAGCAAACACAGATCGTTTACGTGGTTTGATCCAACTAGATCTACGTCCACAGGAGGGAATCAATCAAATAGTTCATTAAGGCAAAAGAAATGGAGAATACATAACTTATACACAGAGATGAGCCCTCATCTTCCTTCTATGGTCTCCTTCTCAAGCGACACCTTGATACAAGGCCTCAAGATGCTCTCCTCGTCTCTAGCTCTCTAGTTATTCTCTCCTCCTTTGTGGTAGCTTAAGATCACTTCCCTTGCTCTCCTAAGTCTCACACCCTCTCTATTTATAGAAGCAAGAGAGTAGTAGGTGGAAGGCTATATGCCCTTAATGGGTAATAATATAAATATTGTATACATATATTGTTGTGAGATATGTACTTCCTGACATAGAAATGAAACGCAAAGAACACAAGCAAACACAGATCGTTTACGTGGTTTGATCCAACTAGATCTACGTCCACAGGAGGGAATCAATCAAATAGTTCATTAAGGCAAAAGAAATGGAGAATACATAACTTATACACAGAGATGAGCCCTCATCTTCCTTCTATGGTCTCCTTCTCAAGCGACACCTTGATACAAGGCCTCAAGATGCTCTCCTCGTCTCTAGCTCTCTAGCTATTCTCTCCTCCTTTGTGGTAGTTTAAGATCGCTTCCCTTACTCTCCTAAGCCTTACACCATCTCTATTTATAAAAGTAAGAGAGTGGTAGGTGGAAGGTAGATGAGCGGTAGATGAACGGTAGGTGAGATGTGGTAGGTGAGCGGTACCACATTACAAAAGTGTCATTTTACCTTAGTTCAATAATTGGGGGTCAAAATAATAATTCTCCACCTTTTCTCCACCTTGAGAAGCTTCGAAGTAAAGTAACGATTTCCTCCACTTGGCCCCTGAGGGGCCCTAAGCCCTTACTTGAGTTTGCTAAGTCCAAACAGTACATGGACTTAGCAATCAAGGTTCTTCCGATAAGAGAGTACAGTCTCTTTTTTCTGACTCATTGTATGACGACACGAGGGCCTTTGGTTACTCTGACGCAGTCATTCTCTGCCTTGAACGAGCATCCGCTTGACTCCAGCGTACCTAAAAAATCAAATTTCTTTTGGGCGCTGGTACTTACCTAATATTTTTCAGTACTCGTTCAACTCCATCAAACATCCTTATCCTAATTGATCCACTTCCAACAATCCTGTGAGCTTTATTGTCTCCCAGCAGAGCGGATTCATCATTTTCCTATTGCAGTGTCTCGAACTAGTCTTTGTTAGGACACATGTGGAAAGAACACCCTGAGTCGAGGATCCACTCCTCACTGGATTCAGATTCTGTGATCACCGGGGCCTCAGCAGAATCGTAGTCATCAGAGGTTATGTTTGCTTCTCCTGATTCTTCTGGCTCTTCTTGATACTTATTCTTCCTGTCTGGACAGTTTCTCTTGAAATGATCATCTTTGTGACAATGATAGCACTTGAAAGACCCCTTTGATGACTGATTCCCGCCATCCTTGCTTGACCTTGATCTGTACTGACCATTTCTTGAATCTTTCCTGTCTAATCTTCCTCTGACAATAAGACTGTCTCTGCTGACTTTCTTGTCTCTGTCATGCTTCTTCTGAAGTTCTTTGGCTCTAGTCAGAGATTGAACCTCCTCCAGAGTAATAGTCTGCACCCTTCCATAGAGCATCGCATCCTTGAAATGCTGGTAACTCTTAGGAATAGAGTTTAGCAACAACAGTGTCTTGTCCTCATCGTCCATCTTGACGTCGATGTTCTCGAGGTCATCGATGATCTTGTTGAACTCGTCAATCTGCTCTGAGACGGATTTGTCTTCATGCATTTTAAAAGAGTATAGGCGCTGCTTCAGAAATAGCCTATTAGCCATAGACTCTTTCAGGTAGAGTACCTCGAGTTTGGCCCAAAGTGCTTGAGCCGTTGTTGCTTCTGTAACACCCTGCTAAACCAATAGAGCTTTCATCTTTACTCTCCATAGGCCAAAGTCGTTCTTCCCGTTGAATTTCTCAATGTCAAATTTGACGTAACTCATTGTCATAGCTAGGATTTCTTCAAATTTCTTCCACCTGCTGCCCTTCCAAGAACTAGGCTTCTCCCTGTGAACTCCGCTGTCTTCACCAACCGAACGGAGAGCTCTAATCCCTTCTTGCAGAGATCACACCTGTTCACCGGAGAAAACTTCATGTTTTGTGCTCGCGCCTCCTTCCCGTAGGCACTCCTCTGCGTCCAGAGGAACAAATCAGGAATTTCTCCTCTGTCTCTCGTACGAGAATAACTGCCTCTCCAGAGCCGTCGCGCCTCGCCAAACTGCTCAGGTCCTCCTGCTTCATGAACTCCCGAACAGGGAACTCCCCGAACCCTTCTCCGCGCGATCTCCGCCTCTTCCCTCTGGTCGAGTTGCTCGCAAGACCGAACTCCTACTCCGAAATCCTCTGTTGGTAGCCCTGTCGCAAATTTTCGGCCCTCGCTCGCGGACTGTTCCTCCTTTGTCTCGCCGAACCGCACAACCTGCGATGCGAATCCAATCGATCAAAGCTTCCAGTGCTCACTGAATCTGTCACGATTTGGCTGCCTGCGACGCGATCCGCTTGCTCCTCTGTTCGTGAAAGTCGAACATCTCTTCTCTGCGACGCGATTCTCTTGCTCCTCTGTTCGTGAATGTCGAACTCTTTTTCTTCGTCGCTGGCAGCGAACACTTTTACGCGGACATCTCTAGCCAAGAAGTATGAATCTTTCCACCAATAAAACGCAAATAACACAAGCAAACACAGATCGTTTACGTGGTTCAATCCAACTAGATCTATGTCCACAGAAGGGAATCAATCAAATTGTTCACTATGGCAAAAGAAATGGAGAATAAATAATTTATAGATAGAGATGAGCCCTCATCTTCCTTCTATGGTCTCTCTCTCAAGCGACACCTTGATACAAGGCCTCAAGATACTCTCCTCGTCTCTAGCTCTCTAGCTATTCTCTCCTCCTTTGTGGTAGCTTAAGATTTCTTCCCTTGCTCTCCTAAGTCTCACACTCTCTCTATTTATAGAAGCAAGAGAGTGGTAGGTGGGAGGTAGATGAGCGGTAGGTGAACGGTAGGTGAGATGTGGTAGGTGAGATGTACCACATTATAAAAGTGTCATTTTACCTTAGTTCAATAATTGGGGGTCAAAATAATATAATATTTATATATATATATATATATATAAAGAGAGAGAGAGAGAGATACACTCATAGAAGCACATACAACATATATACACATACATAGATATGTGTGTGTGTGCGTCGCTTGGTGCACACAATCTATTGGGGTATCTACCCAATATTTACTCAATAAAATCAAAAGAATTTTCACCGAAACTCAAAACCTACTGCTATGGTGAGGAAATAAATGACATTTTAAGATTGCCAATCACTCATTGAATTGGAAGGGTGAAAACGGAACAACATAATCATAAAGAAAAATTGGCTTATGTGTGACTAGATTGGATGAAAAATGAGTGTATGATATGAACTTTGCCGACAAAGCGATAAAACCCAGCACCAAAACCGGAATCGAACCACAAGATCTACAAGACACGAGTTTGTTGAGCCTTGACCCATTACCTAGCAAGATAAGAACTACAGTTAGAAAGACGCCATGCTTAGAATCTCAAGAACACTCGAGAATTCAAGATGATAAGTCATTTGCTTAAATGCTACAAGAATTAACTTGATAGCTTCAAAAAATCTTCTCAATAAAATAAGAAGAGCATAAGAAAAAACTAACAAATTTGTGAATGTTTTGAAATTTAATTAAGCTCCAAAATAAACCAAAGGTTCAAATTTCCATGCATGCAAACTTCGAAACCCTTAAGTGGCACTAATTCCATAATGATTTAACCCCAAAAACTGAAAAAATTCGAAAATAACCAAAAAAGGAAACTAGAAGAAAAAATTATGTAGATTTTATATCATGCTTAAACAAAATCGAAAAATAACATAACAAATATAGTAGGACAATGATAACAATGTGTGCCCTTAAATGAAATGGGGCCCATATGTTGTTCCAAAAATAGGCATCCTTCCTGATATGACGAATTTAAAATGTTGGACTTCAATAAGTGCTAAAAAAAACTGTATTCCACTGTAGGAAACCCTTCTAGAGCCTTAATTACATTAACAAGGCACAATTGGGTTTGTTTTGAACTCTTGTTAGGCCTTCATGTGTAAGTCACTTCGCCAATTTGTTGGGCTAGCCAAAGCTTCTTTGAAATGTTTGGCTCTAAGTCTTGTGATTGGCCCACTTACAAGAGACAAAGGGTCATGTGAATTCTCATCATGCTTGAGTGTAGCTCCATTTGCATCAAATAGAGCATCTGAAATATAGGAGTTATGAAAATTTTGATATTGGCTTGATGTAAATGGATTGAATGGTAAATTTTTAGATAATTCCAAACTCGCCTTCTAATTCAACTTTGATGTCTTCTATGCTCAACCAATTTAGCCGAGTTATGAATGCACTGCAATTCACGATCATTGCAGCCACCAACTATTATCCACCACCATCATCACCAGGGCTAATAGCTGCCCACTACAATCACTAGGAGCCACCTATCGCCGATTGAGCTAGCATCCATCTGCTTGCTTCCCCCACTAACCACTACCCACTACCCACCACCAACCACCAACCGTCAACCATCACCGCCCTCTGACATCCATCGCTTTTACCATCGAGCTCTACATTGAATTCATCTCACTTCAAACTAAATATAAAAAGTAATCTCTCGCATGTCTTTTACACAGTCAAATAACTCCAAAATATTTCAAATTCACTAACCTTTTTACTTTGTATTCCATTTTCAGCAATCCAAACAACCCTTAATTCATTTCACAGAAAACCTAACAACCTTTAATTCATTTCATTGATTCCAAAGTCGTAATGCCTATAGACTCATAGGAACTCATATACACCCAACAACTACATATTAACTACCTAACAACCACCAACTCACCTCAACTTATCCATCGCAATTATTAGCACTCGAATCAACCATTAAACCACAAATACCCAATACATATCCCTCTCACCTCCCAACACAGCCAAGTGAAGTGATAAAAACCTCTAAGACAAATGACATCAAAATCTCCACCCCAACAATAAATTCAGATATGGCTTAATAAGCACCGCTTATTCAAACAAAATTCATCTCTTCATCATAGCCTTCCCGCTTCAGCAACTAAACCCTAATCTAATCTTTAACAGGCCATCGAACATATAAAAAATCTGCTACAAAATAACCACACAAATAAAAACCACTTGCTAAGCAATCAAATATAAGGATCGATTGCGCATTTCAGTAAAGCGAATACAAATCCGCTAAGAAGGAAATAGACGGATGATCTATCCCAGAACATATAAATTAGATAGCAATAAAAACGTTGCTCTGCAGACTGTAAAATGGTAAATCATGGCAGAAAAAGATTTGAAACTTGAAATGACGGTAAAAGACAAGAGAGCTTTACGAGTGGAGAGGAAGGAGAGTGAAGGTCGAAAGCTTTATCGATCGACGGCGAGCGGAAGAATTGACGAGTCGGGCTCCGAAGGTATATGAAGGGAAAACGAGTGCGTTCGCCGCAGTAGCCATTGACGGTTCATTAATTTTTGTAAATGCCGGGTTTTTGGCCCATGAAAGAGCGAACGCCACGTGGAGATACTCATCTGAAAAGCCACGTGTCAGGTGGTGGCAGCAGTGGTATTCAAATGGGTACGGTGGCGCACGACCTGTTGGGCAAATGAAAAATCATGAGGGCAAGATGCATGAACTGAAAAATAAAATCGAAAAATTAGGGTTCTAAATGAGTCAAGTTTGAGCGAACTCAAGCTTGGTTTTTGTTTGGTTCGTTGGAAATTATTCGTGTTTGAAATTAGCTCGTGTTCGAAACCGGCTCGTGAACAGTGTGTTCGTATTGGACTCGATCTAAATATTTGTGTTCGTGCTCGGCTCGAAATTAGCTCGTTAACATTAAACTGAAAAAATAGATGTAGAGTGTTGGATTTGAACCTGAACCAAATGTATGTAAAAGAAGACGCATAACAACATTACTACACAAATAGTTACGTTTTAAACTTAGATATAAATATATATAATATATTATTATATAAATAATTATATAAATATATATTTTTAATTTTGAGCTAAAACGAACCGAACACGAGCGAAGAAAGAGCTGTTCGTGTTCGGCTTGTTTATAATTTGAGCTTTAAAAACTTAACAAACGAGTCGAACACGAGCTGTTAGCGAACAACGAGCTTTTTTGACAGCCCTACCTACAAACCATCCTAAACGTTGATATTTATAAATTAACTATTTAGGTGATTTTTGTATACTATCTAACACATGTATTGACACGTGCTACGATCAAACTATTGAAATTTTGATATAAATGAAACATATGAGTTGGAGTTTTACGTGAATTTAGATATTTGAGTGAGAATTTGAAAATTGAATGAAAGAGGACGATTGATTTGTAAATATCAAGTTTTGGGTGGTAATAAATTCAAGGCATAATATGTAATGAGCATGGCAAATGTCATTAAAAAAAATTTTAATGTGACAATTTTGTAGGATAATTTTGATAAAATTAGGATCTCATTATCATGTCCAAATTTGTCTCATGGATTAATTGGGTTTTGTTCTTTTCATAAGAAAATATTAATATGTGCATAAGATAAATGGTAAAAAATAAAATAATAAGAAGTTATAAGATGGTTGATTAGTTCTTCACACTATTGTTTTTGTGCTTTTGAGTAAAAAAAAAAATGTGGTACGTTTCAGAATGGATCAAATTGGACTACATTTGTGAGGTGAGTTTCATTTGAGTGTAATGGATCCATTTAGATGAATGGCTCAATCAATTAATTTAACTATGGTATGGGAAAGTGACCTCTACAAACTTGGCCAACATGCAAGGTGCACCACTATTTAACATCTTGTTCATTGAAGTTGTAAGGCCAGGAGTTGAGTCAATAGTCATGGGATGTGAGTGATACTTATGTCCTATTGTGATACCATGTAATAGTGCGGTGGCTCTGGTTAGTGAGTTTTGTGAAACAAGATAAATTGACTCATGTTGTGGCTTGAAAATGCATCTTATTAGGTTTGGTTGCTCTTATGGGGACGCTATTGTCAACGATGCTGGGTTTGTGGGCTATCATCTTATTATTCTCACATCATATGATTAGATGGAAGCAAATTTTAAAAAATTAGATTATGCCATAAATTGAAAGGATGAACATTTTAGGGAGTATCTAACTCAAATGTTTCTACACTTTCTAAAGTGAACTTCTTATGCTTCATTTAGGATAAGGCACCTAAGGACAATAATCAAAAGGTTAAAAAAATATGTATTAAAGATAAAAATACTTAATTGTCAATACCTTAAAATATAAAAGAACCCGGCATTATGATTCTTTATCAATGGTATCTTATTACTTAAATAAAGTTTTACTTCATCCATTTGGTTCGCTTGTTAAACTTTAGCCTTTTGTTTGTCAAATATGACAATTTTATAATGTATATTATATGTAATATAATATATTTCACTTTTAGATCAACAATTAGTGCTCTTGTATGTGTTGCATGTTTCACTTTCAATTTCATATTTTTTTTACAATAATTTTCTTAAATGTTTTGTTAATGTTGGCTCTCAAACATTGTAAATGCTAGTAATCAGATTTATAAGCAACTCGGTATCATTGTGGAGCACCAATTTTTTGGGCTAACTTCAATTATTATTGTGCTATTTCTTACCATTTTAATTCGGTGACAATCAAGTTATATTAATTTAGATTGATATCCATTTTTGTCTTGAAGTATGCGCCTAGTTGTGAGTTATCCAAGCTCACCCTGATTCAAGTTGGATTGAAAATTGGCCTAGACTCTGTGGTTTTTTCCCATTTGGGTTTTTTATGGTAAAATCCTGGATGTCCCCTCAATCAATCATTCTTTAATCTACGTGTGTACTAGATTTTCGTACAATACTAATCATTCCTGTATAAAACACTCAGATCTTGTTTTATAGTTTGGCTGACCGATTCCTTAAAGCCGCTATCTGTCTATGAAGTTATTAAAAAACACAAGATGGCAATATCATGCTTTTAGAGATTTATAAATCAGATTAGCTTAAGAAAATTCAAGTGTATTTCATTTAACAATAATATTAATAATCATTTAAATTAAATTAAATTGCAATTAAATATTAGCAACATCTTACGCAAAACACCCCAATTCAATTTAACTACTTCACAATCTAGTTATGATATCTTTATTATATGGTATATTCACATACATATCACTCTGTTTTTATGTATTTACATTTCTAACTTACACATTAGTTTTTTAACCTTATCTATAAATGAAAATATGTTTTTTTTTAGTGGTATAAATGTAAAAAAAATAAAATTTAGGTGTTATTAGTGTTAATACTCTCTCTCTCTCTCTCTCTCTCTCTCTCTCTCTCTCCATTAAAGGTAAGCTTTAATGTGAAACATCACTGAATCGCATGCATCAACAATTAACTCAAACAAACCAAATAGTTTGTGTGTGGGAGTCACCCACAACTTCAACTAATAACAACTTATTAAGTGCTGAAAAATTAGTGATTGTTAAGGGTCAATTTATTATTATAAATTTGCACAAAATTTTAAAATTATAAAACTCTTACATAAATGATTATAAATGTAGACTGCTAGCCTCCTATGAATGTTGAAAGGACTAACAAAGTATTGACAGTGATGGGAGGTGTTTTGATGAAATTAAGGGTCTGTTTGGTGCAGCCGCAACTTATTAAGAAGCTGTTGTGAAGCTGCTTAAGAATAAGTTAATGTTGCAAAAAGGAGCAGTGGCTATGGTAATTTTTTTTTAATTATTGAAAAAGTCAAAATGTAGCTAGAAAGCTTCTACCGCATCTAGTCAGGACCGATATTTCAGCGGTAGCTTTTTGGAAAAGGTGTCACAACCCAAACAACCAAAACAGTGGTGCGGTGCTACACCGCCGCCGCACCGCTGTCCCGAACAGAGCCTAAGAGTTGGAAAATATTATGAATCCTTAATTTAATGTCTACTCTAGAGTTTTTTGCGGAATATTGATAGATTTGGTATGTTATATGAATATGAATGTCAATATTGGTTCGAGTTAGGCTAGTTTGCATTGATTTGAAAAATCTCTAAAAAATAGGGAATTAAGGTGGGGTAAATAACTAGAAATGTTCTTTATAATCAGCTAAGGTTATGTGTTTGTGATATAGAGTAAATTGGGTTTTGTGAAGCTTATGTGGGTATTAAAAAAATAAAAGAAGAAGATGAGGTCTTAGTTTAACCTAATATGATCTAGAGCTTTAAGAGTTGATGTGAGATTTGTGTTGGTTGGTGGGTAGTCTTGGAAAATGCTTTGGAAGTTGTGGAGATGTGGGAAAAGTTAGACGGTTTGAGTTAAAAGAGACAAAAATATATATAAAAGGAATAAAAAAAATTATTTCTTTCTTACCAAAGAAAAGATAAAATAAATTAATGCATAATCCCTCTCATCTCGGTGCACAAAGAAGCTACATCTCGTATCTCAGGCTTTAAAAAGTAGACCTTATCTTCGAGTTTATTAACTCGAGCGAAGCTGTTATTTCGACTACTTTCAACTATAGTGGTGGTATTGTGAGAAAAGTATAAAGTTAGAGAGACTTCGTACTCTTATATCCATGCTCTTCTAAGGTGTTCAGTAACCATGACCATCACAAACGCTCTTGCACATTCTCAGAGTTAATAATATCCATTTGAGCCTTGTATCCTCAGATGACCATGATACTTCCTAGCATATTCTATTTACTATTCATAAGTGCAGTCAATCATGAATGGAGTGCTTGAATATAGTAGAAAACTTTAGTAGGTAGAAAGAATGAAGTACATGAAGCTATTTCATATCATCTTTTTGGTCTTCAAATAGAGCTAACTCAAACCATCATGTGAGAACATTTGTTTCTGTGTTCTCACTATTATTTGGTGCCCTAAAAAAATTCTTTACTTCTTTAATAGTCATTGAAGTTGAGCATTTATATGATGTCGACTTGATCTTTTTTGTTGCAAATATTCACTACAGAAAATTTTGTTAGTTTATGACATTTTCGACAAACATAAGTCCGCTAGAATATCTTTGGTCGTCATAAAAAATTTTTTGAGATAATTTTGCCCATCATAATGGTATTCACGACGATTTACAGATGGGTTGAAATTTTTGGCGGCATTCCAATGATCTTTGGTGTCAGTAATATTATAATGGACTGTTTCCGTCGGTTCATGTTTATTGAAAAACGGACAACCACATTTGTCGTTAATTAAAAAACTGATAGATATCAATAATGAAATTTTGTGGGGAATTGTATCAGAAAAAATATACTTATGCCTGATTACTACTTTTACACCTGCAATCAACTTTCGAAACATATTATAACAAAACTCATATGATTTGAGAATAAAATAGAGCCACATAAGGACAATCACAAATTAAAAAGAAAAAGACATAACAATGATCTAAAAATTATAATGTACTAAATCACATACGTGCTTTTAGAATAAAATGTGTATCTTTTCTCTGTTCATTTTAAGATTT